TTAGATGTAAAATCCAAGCTTAAGGTGACTGAAAGGGCAGGGTTCAGCTTGGTAAATGTTTCATGCCTTGATCCTCAAGCAGTATACAATATACCGAGTACTTGTGTGGTGTTCTTCCCTGGTGGAGAGATTCGAAAGCTCTCAATCTGGATTTGGGCTCTTAGATATTGAAGGCCAATAATCATTACAGTATAATTAATAAGCCACTCAGGTGTTTAGGAGGTTAGACTATTGTTTTGGGATTGAAGCATTAGATAGTTTTTATAAGGAATTTTATTGTATGCTATTAATATCAAACATTTCTGTCATGTGTAATGTTCAGTCATTCAATCATTTTGGTATACAGTACTTACAAAAGATGAACACAAACAAGAAAATTTAATATCTTGGATATATGAAAGTATACACTGCCCAATATTTCTTTCTGTGATGGGAAAAATAAGATAGAATATTAGCCAGTGGCATGGCACCTCTTTACATATTGAGAGATCACTGAACTCATACTAATCATTTTGTTTAGAACACACAGGTACTTTATAATATGTAAGTGAACTAGAATGAAGCAAGTAATATAAGGCTGTTATTTAGCTTATGTATTTCAATTTCATCACAATAGCGATAAAATTGTATCTGGATTTACTTAAAAATTTGAGCTATTCCTGGCCTATAAATGTTTTATGCAGTTCATTATTTCATTGGAAGGTTTTATAACATTAGCTAAAAGTCATTTTGTGCTCTAATTTCAGTCTGTTAATCAAGATAACATTTGTTTATATAATCGATAAGAAACTGATCAATCATTGCAGTCTCATCAACATCGAATGTACACTTACTTTTAAAAAGTATGAAGTTTATTCTTAATATGTTGTTGATTCTTCATAAATATTGATAAAAGAGGTAACATTTTTTGTGAAGAGATTTTCATACATTCATTTTTTTGTAAAAAAAAAAAATGTTAACATAGGACTTTCATGTCCATTTTAAGTACAACTGAAGTAAAATCCTAGAGGGTAATTGGAACTTTATCAGCAGCAGCATTATTAAATAAAGGTATAACACACCTATACTTAAGTAATGCATTCCAGCCAGAATTGTCATTATCCGAACATTAGATATGGATGTGTTAACGTGTACAATTGCTGGTGATAAACTCAACAGTTCATAAAATTAATATAGGTCACACATCTTTATTAAAATCTGGTGTCTGGATTTATCATAATTCTGGTTGAGTGTTCTTAACAATTGATATATGGCTGCATTTATTGTAAAATACTGTATGTATTCTTTTGTAACTGAGGTGTGGCTATTTGGGTATTTAGCTCCAAATAGGTATAATATTTTAAATGAACAATGATTTCTACTTACCTAAGAACCATTAACTGTAAGGAATTAAATTTTGGAGTATGTTAGTGAGCCCATCACTCTTAAGTGGGAAATAAGGGAACAAATGTTAGGCTGGTGTGAGTTAAGGATTAAAGTACATGTGGATTTGGCAGACCGAAAATCACTGAATTCTCTAGACTTAACAGTGAAGGCACATAGCCAGTGTAGAAATTTGAAAGTTATGCACTTTTATAAGGTTGTGTTGGGATAATTCCACATCTTCAGTGTCAACTTGAACTCTGAATCACTATTTTTGAAAGCTGAATGATTTAGTGAGAAAATTGAAGTAGATCGTTATGCACATGAAGTGGTGTCAGGTTTGGCAATGGACAGCAAGAATGTACAATTACATCTTTATAGATTGTGGTAATGGACACAAATTTGAGTTTTTTAAGTAATTCAAACAAGTGTGAATTGAAAGGTTATAGAGAATGGCAGACTATAAAAACAGAATGGAGAGAAGATTGTACTGACAAGGTTAATAAGGAGAAATGGAAGATCAGCAAGTTTGCAAGCTGTGTTATTTTGACTGTGGAGTCATGTGTTTCTATATATGTACTATTAGTTTATGGCTTACATATCCTGTAAAGTGATTAACATTTGAAATGTGACATAGCATTTAAATAGTTATTTTTGCAAATTTTTTGAGTATTAGTATTAAATGTACACAGTCTGAATTGGAAGATAAAACTTAATCACTTTAAGGGGTTTAGAGTATACAAATGTCATCCATTTCTGAAATTTATTTCAGAAGGTGTATTATTTTTATTGGAAATGCTTTATATTAAAATTTAATAAAAGTTTTGAATTATGTTGTCTGAGAAACTTATGTATAATGTACTCTTGTTTTGCATCTTTTCAAGAGAAAGTAAAATGCTAACTATTTTATTATATTATGAAAGGCTTTACATATCATTATATTTGGAAGCATTTCATGTAGTTGCTCATGTTAAATTTCTTCTGAATAACATCCTTCTAAATTCTGAATTTTAAACCAACAAATATTCAGTGACTAGTAGCTGTATTTCTTGAACTCTGTGTAGATTTAATATTATGCAAAAGGTCTACTAAAATGCCATGACAGATATTGTAAATGTTATATGCATTGATAATAGGTACTTTTGTTTGGTGCACCATAAATGTGATGACTGTAGTGGTACCAATCATTCTGATACTTAGTCTTCAAGCAAATAATACATCATTTTAAAATGGGTTTTTGGAGTGGATTTTGAGCTACACTGTAAGGTGCTTAAAGTCTTAGAAACTTTTTACTTGGTATTCAGAATCACTGATCAGATATTTTTATTAAAAAAATAATAGACAACCAACCAAAGAGAAACTGTGATAATGTTTCAGTTTTTTTTTTTTTTTTTTTTTAGCCGACTTTGTTTTTTTGATTGCAAGTACAGTGTAATGCTGCCATGTTAATTGTAGGAATCAATGTGGGGTATTTGTAAAGAATTGGGCAAATGTTTTGGATGTCTGGCAAGCATTTTTAAAGGTTATTTGTTTTAATTATGTATTTGTTGTTAAAATAATCTCTTAACTGTTTGGTGTATTTTCTCTATAGCTTTAAAATATTCTTTGAAATGTTTATTTATGCCTTTTTTTATTATTATTTTCTGTTTTGAGTAATTGACATCAACCTTGCCATTGCAAAGGTACATTCCCAAGGACCAACTTGCTCTGTAAACACCCTCATATATAAGTGATTGATATAAAAACATTTGAGAACCGAGATCAATTTTTTTTTTTTTTTTTTTTTTTTTTTGCACCATACAACACTCAGATTGAAATTTGTAACTTTATTATTTTATTTTAAATGTACTAGAAAAAAAAAGGATGAAAACTTGTCTGGTTTTGTAAACATTTCAGGAGGTTGGGTCACAGTTGTCTAGTCAGAAAATGTTTTTAGCGTATTCAAAGAAAATGTAAAATATTCATGCTTTTTAGTATATCTTTTGTAATATTTTATATATAGCTTCCACTTTTGTTCTTTTATTAAATAAATGAGAAATTATTGGTCTATGTGAGTAATGATAGAAAATCAAACAGATACTTTACAATTAGAAATGCTAATTCATAGGAATCACAACCTCCACTAAATTTACCCTTTCATTTTAACTGTTCTCTTGGTGTGTAAATAATTTTAATCATTTTAGCAGCTTGCAAACCTGTTGTTTATATATTGAAGGCATGGAAAGAATAGATCTTGTTTTGTAACAAACATATATGTTTTGTTTTATTTTAACCTTCACACTGAATGCCATAGGTTGCTTAGTAATGCTACATATTCTTCCCAGCTAGGCACCTTTTTTTGAATTACTTCTTCCTGGCTATTTAATTTTTGACCGAGACAAATTGCTCTGCTTCTTTCAATGCTTCCTGCACATCAGTGCATGAATGAATGAATACAGTGAATGGGCTTTTGTGCACAATTCACAGGTAAGTGGGGGTGGTTCCTGCTTTCCTCTTCTGCCTGCTGTGGTGATGCACAAGTGAGTTATCCGCCCATGTTTTTGCCGTGAATGGAGACCCATGCATTCCCCATGTGTTCTTTCATCGGGTTGCTGAGCCTACCCAGTGGCTGCCACCCCTGGGGGGGGGGGCGGGGAAACACACTTCATTGACGAGGAGATGGGTAAAGTGAAAGGTTCAGTGCAGCCCACTTGAACCTATCGGCTCGCCTGGTTCGCCTGTATAGTTAGACATCGGGTCAAGTGGGCATTTTGGTGTTGATATCCGTATCAGTCCCTGAGGTGGCATTCATTCCACTCGATGTGTACCCACGTACAGGGTTCGTCTGATGTGGTTCCTGGAACACCATCACCACCTCTCCCCTTCTCAATTTGGTTTCCGCAAGTGCCGCAGCACAACAGATGTCCTGGTGAACTTTGAGGTCTATATTCGTACTGCTTTTGCTGCGAAGACCTCCATTGTTGCCATCCTTTTTGACCTGGAAAAGGCTTACGACACCATTTGGCGCCATCATATTCTATCCCCAGCTTCATTCTTTTGGCCTTCGTGGTCATCTCCCTCTCTTTCTCCACAGCTTCCTCTCACGTCGTTCCTTTCGGGTGAGGCTTGGTTTCGCGTGCTCTGCCGCTTTTCAGCAGTATGAAGGTGTGCCCCAGGGTAGTGTTCTGAGCACTACTCTTTCTGGTTGCCCTCACTGTCTGGCCCGTTGCCGCCGTGAGAGGGCTTGGTGGGCAGCTGCCAGAGTGTGATTCTCCATGGGTCAGTCCTCTGTCCTTTTGCAGCCTTATGCTCCTGATGCTGCCTTTACCAATTTTGCCAGACCCCGTTTCCTTTTCCTCATGTTTCATTGTTCTCCCCCTCTTCTATCAAATTGTCATTTCCTGCCGACCTTTTGCTTGTTTTGATTATTCTTTCGACCTTCTTTTCTTTGACGCCCGGGTGTTTGAGGAGGCATACTCTTGCACCCGTAGAACTGTAGTACCCAACGTCTCAAGCGAGGGGACCCTTTTATTGTCAATCTTCCTTTCATCACTGAACCCGCTCTCGACGGACTCACGGTTCTTAAGGTGGCATTTGTGGAGCTTATACTCACGACGCACCCCTGGGGGGACCCCGGCAAGATCGGCGATAGCGTCTTGTTGGGTGTCCTGCCTCTAATTGTGGCTCCATGGTGGATGTAGGGGCACATTTGTGAATGAAAGTTTTCCTCGTTTTCATGGCAGATAATGTTTCCCTTGTACCTTCTCAGGCTCGTGGGGTGGGCGACCAAGCCCCCGAGTCAGACTGTGTTGGAAGACCAGGCCCTGTAGCCTCCGCTACATTGGGCCCCGACGACCTGACTACTCCCCCTCAGCTCCCCTCCCTCCCTCTGCGGTAGGGTCGAGTCTCCAGCCCCCAGTGGTGACCACCTCGTCCCCTGGCACGGCTTCGTCTCTCATTGTGACTACTGCGCCTTTTACCCCCCCTCTCTCTCTGGGGGTTCTCAACGCCGTCCCAGCCACGGCCGCGCTCGCATGATCCCTTCCCGTAATAATACTTACAACGCCTTGTTTGGTCCCGCTACGTGTGGTAAATACTTTGATCTCCACCATCTGGATTCTTCTTCTACTGACGATTTCTCCCTCCATAAACACCTTGTTGATTCAGTAGATGCCTCTGTTACTTTTAACTCCACCAGTTACGGTACGCATGTCGTCGCTGCTCCTTCTCAGGATGCAGGTACTCGCTTAGCCGCTTTGTCCTGCATTGGAGAGACCCCTATTCGGGTCTCCAAAAACGCTCGGTTAAATGCCAGTGTTGGCATTGTTCTCCTACCACACCATATTGCAACTGGTGTTTGGGACCTCAAAGATTACCATGAGGATATTAAACATATCCTCGAAGCCCAAGGCCATTCTGTCCTCCAGGTGGACACGTTTACTCGACCCCCTCGTGGTCGTCGCCGTCAGCCCCTTCGATTTGTAAAAATCACCTTTGATAGTAGGGCCCTTCCGCCCTCTATTATTCTTGCTGGTGCCAGGTGCTCCGTTCAGGAGTACATTCCATCTCCTAGACTTTGTAATAAGTGCTGGAAGTTCGGGCACGATTCCCTCAACTACTACAGTCTTGTCTCTATGCCCCATGTGTGGGGGTGATGACCACTCTTAAGACAGATTGCTCTTCTCCCAAGGCTCACTGCCTCAATTGTCCCACCCTACCTACTCCCGCGCATATGCACTACAAGCTTGAGGAAGTTGTCCTCATCTTGAAACACCAGGATCGTTTGACTTTTCCTGAAGCGAGACGCCAAGTCCACCGTCTCCACCCTTTCACTGGCGTATCTTATGCTTGCGCGTTGCGTTCTACCTCTTCTTGTCCTTCCCATCTTCCTCAGTCACACAACCGTTTCCAGGGCTTGGACCCGGACACGCCCACCACCTCCTCCCCTGTTCCTTTACATTCTGTCCCGAAGATTCTCCTTCTTGGTTCTCTATTGGAAATTTTCCCCCTTCCTACCCAGTCGTCCGCCATGTCTCCTGTGTCTCCTTTCCTATCTCCCTCCCCCCAGTCTCTTGGCCCTCCATGATGCCTGTCTGTCACGCTTTTGTCCATCATCCTCCCTCAATCTTCATGTTGTTTGCCCCCGTTCTTCTCCTGTTGAGACCACTGAGTCTGTTGCCCAGTACTTTGTTGCTGGAACACCTGTCTCTTTGAGTCAGAAACGTAAGCCTGGCTCCTCTCCTTCCTCCTCCCCAGCGGGTAAGAAGGCATCGCTTTTTTCCTCTCCCCTTTCCTCTGACCCTATCGGTACGTCGACTTCCATTTCGTTAGTCGGGCACCGGTATCCCAGCTATGGAGGTTTCTTTAGCCCCCGATTCCCTCTCGGTTTCTGCCCTTGCTGAGGTGCGCTCCCAGGTTTCTGCCCCCCTCCCCTCTCCTGCTGTCCATGACAGCTCTTCTCGGTTGTCTCCCCCTCCTCCAGACCCCGTTCGTCCTCCTCTGGTCTGTCCTCCCACTCCCTTCCCTTCTTCCTACTAAGTTTACCCATGCCCCCTAACCCTGATTTTGCTAACCCTGATCTTGACCCCTGATCCTGATCCTGAGCTTATTTAATAAACTGTGTTCTTCTTTACCTGTGTTTCTTCATTGTTCTCTGTTGCTGTCCTTTCTCTTTTTGATAATGTCTATTCTTCAGTGGAATATTCGTGGATTTTATGCCAACTTCCAGCTTCTGATTACACAGTTTTCACCACTTCGTTTTTGTCTCCAGGAGCCAATGCTTGGTGCTCGTCCTGGTCACTTTCGTGTTTATTCCTTTCTTTCTCCCCCCCCCCCCTTAACTCTACTACTCTCTTGATTCGTTCTGATATTCCCTTCGTCCCCCTACTTTTTCCATCGCCTAGCCATTGTTCTGCTGCCCGTGTTATTGTGAGTAAATGGTATACAGTCTGTTCCATTTATCTCCCCCCAAATGTCCCGCTTTCGCTTTCTGATCTTAAGCGCCTCCTGGACTCCTTGCCAGAGCCTGTGCTCCTGTTGGGGGATTTCAACTGTCGACATACCCTCTGGGGTGATGTTCTGACAAACACCCGAGGCCGCCTTCTTGAACGGTTCGTCCTCTCTTCTTTCCTGTCTCTTCTGAATTCTGGTGAGCCCACTCATGTGGACTCTCGGACTCGCACCCTTTCCTGTCTTGAGCTTTCTCTCTGCTCGTCGTCCCTTTACTTAGATTTCACGTGGCGGGTTCTTGATGACCTCCATAACAATGACCATTTCCCTATCTTCGTTTCCTTTTTCTCTTTTCACCCTCCCTTCTCCTTCCCTAGGTGGCAGTTTGTCAAGGCTGACTGAAACCTATTCACCCTCCGTGCTACTCTCTCTCTGACCTCTCCTCTCCTCTCTGCCTCTTCCTCGCATCCTCCTCTTTTTTTCATGACAGCGTCTTCAATGCTGCCCTCCGCTCTATTCGTCGCTCTACATCCCGGGGCACGCGGAAGTGCGTTCCCTGGTGGAATGCAGACTGTGCTTGGGCTGTCCGCTGTAAGCGTGCAGCCTGGAAGAAACCCCGACGCCGGCAGACGGCTGATTCTTTTATTTTGTTTAGGAAGGCAAGTGCGGTGGCCCATAGGACCACCATCTGGAAGAAGGTCAGCAAGAATGTGGGTAAGTTCGTTCTAGATGTCTCGCCGGTTCTCCACCTCCGTGGTACTCTTGTGGCGGACCCGTTGCAGGTCGCGACCGAACTGGGTTCCCAATTTTCTACTGTTAGCTCTGATTCTCATCTTCCGCAATCCTTCCTTCTTCGTTGCCCGTTCTTGAATCTCATCCCTTAGATTTCCGCACTCATCTCCGCCTTCCCTATAATGATCCCTTCTCTTTCTTTGAACTTCAGTCTGCCCTGGCCCTCTGCAGATCTACGGCAGCGGGCTCAGATGACATTCATTATGAGATGCTTCGCCTTCTTCCTCTGCACGTCTCAGTATTTATTGTGTCTGTATAACCAGGTCTGGGATTCGTCGTCAGTCAGTGGGGACTGACTCGATGCCGTTGTACTCCCTGTTCGGAAACCGAGGGTCTCTCAGGACATCCCTTAAGGACTTCCGCCCTATTGCTCTCACGAGTTATGTCTGCAAACTCTTTGAGCGTATTGTAAATGTTCGTCTGATGTGATTCTTGGAACACCATGACCACCTCTCCTCAATTTGGTTTTCTCAAGTGCCGCGGCACGATTAATGTCCTGGTGAACTTGGAATCAACAGCCAATTAATGCACAACTATATTCTACCCACCTCAAGACTCCGCTCCAATATAGAAGCATCAAGAAATATGGACAAATAGGCTTTCTACAATCACTTCCATTCAATACCCATTGTTTCGTGTTCTGTCTTGTGTTGATGAAATTAATACCCTATTAATACCACCTCACCCCATCCACCTCACTCAAATGTAGATATAAACAAATCGGAGATGTGTAAGTTCTATTCAGTTGTGTATGTGTAAACTAAAGTCTTTGAAAATGTAATAAGTTTTACGAAACGCGCTCAAGTGTCGCGTCAGACTAGAAATAAAAATGAATTTTGGAGAATTGATTTTTGAATTACCACCAACAGTGAAAAGAAATGTACGAAAGATCGAGAAAATTCGTGTTAGAATCATTAATCTTAATTTTTCGGTCATATTTAATAATATATATATAATATATTATATATATATATATATATATATATATATATATATATATATATATATATATATATATATATATATATATATATATATATATATATATGCGAACAAGCCTGAATGGTCCCCAGGACTATATGTATATATATATAATATATATATATATATATATATATATATATATATATATATATATATATATATATATATATATATATATATATATATATATATATATATATATATATATATATATATATATATATTAATACAGGGTAATACAAGACGTTGCTGTTTATGTTTAAGGAAGCTTGTATAATTTGTGTATGAATCCTAAAAGTCGAAGAAACTTTTAGTAATGAATGTCCAAAGTTGTTATTGGGTTAGCAAAACATCTTGTAGTTTCCCATTGTCGGGTATGAGAATCCTGACTTATTTATAATTCATTGTGTAGGGGGACAGGAAGCCAGAGTGTATTCATACCTATGAATCGTTAGGCTTATATCGAGGTTCAACCCCCCCCCCCCCCACCCCCAAGGTCGAGTTATTGACCCTGCCAAGAATGCAACCCCATAACAAGCTGTCTAGAGAGAGAGAGAAGATTAAGCCACCCAAAAGGTGGCTTGGGCATGAATAGCCCATAAGTGGTGGCCCTTTTGAGCCATTTCCAGTATCAATAGATGATACTGGAGATCTGTGGAGGTGCGACTGCACCCTGCGTGACGGGAGATGTCTCCCGTGAAGAGCCACTATAACCAAGAGCTGTCTAGCTCTTGAGTACCTACTTACTGCTTGGTTAACATAGCATGAGGTGAAAGGAAATTTATGTCCCGCCCGAGATATCAAGGTTGCAGTAGCTGTACACAAGATCACCCAACCATTCCATATATAGACAGTCCCTATGCCAAAGATGAAGTGGTGTCTGGAAGTTAAGAAAAGTGTTTAGTTAGAAGAGTGATGAACGGCATCTACCAACCAACATATATAAGTTGGAGAGAGAGGTAAGGTGGCGGGGAAGGGGGGGGGGGGGGGAAGTCTGACAAGTGTGTGTGTGTGTGAGTGTGTGTGTGTGTGTGTGTGTGTGTGTGTGTGTGTGTGTGTGTGTGTGTGTGTGTGTGTGTGTGTGTGTGTGTGTGTGTGTGTGTGTGTGTGTGTGTGTGTGTGTGTGTACTCACCTAGTTGTCTCCCATTTGAAACTGAGAATTGAGTCTGCCTCCACCACATCACTTCCTAATGATGTATGTGTGTGTAATTACCTAAGTATAATTACCTAAGTGTAGTTACAGGATAAGAGCTACGCTCGTGGTGTCCCGTCTTCCCAGCACTCTTTGTCATATAACGCTTTGAAATTACTGACGGTTTTGGCCTCCACCCCTTCTCACCTAACTTGTTCCAACCGTCTACCACTCTGTTTACAAAAGTGAATTTTCTTGTTTCTCTGGCAGTTTTGTTTCATTAGTTTAAATCAATGACCTCTTGTTCTTGAAGTTCCAGGTCTCAGGAATTCTTCCCTAACAATTTTATCGATTCCTATTACTATTTTGTATGTAGTGATCATATCGCCTCTTTTTCTTCTATAATCAAGTTTTTGCATATTTAATGCCTCTAACCTCTCCTAATAGCTCTTATCCTTCAGTTCTGGGAGCCACTTAGTGGCATGTCTTTGCACCTTTTCCAGTTTGTTGATGTGCTTCTTAAGATATGGGCACCATACAATCGCTGCATATTCCAGTTTTGGTCTAACAAAACTCGTGAACAATTTCTTTAGTATTTCGCCATCCATGTATTTAAAAGCCATTCTGATGCTAGAAAGTGTAACATAGGTTCCTCGCACAATGTTCTTAATGTGGTTTTCTGGTGACAGTTTTCTATCTAGAACCACCCCTAGATCCTATTCTTTGTCAGGATTCTTTAAAGATTTCTCACATAACATATAGGTTGTGCGGGGTCTATGTTCTCCTATTCCACATTCCACAACATGGCATTTATTCACATTAAATTCCATTTGCTAAGTGGTGCTCCATATACTTATTTTGTCCAGGTCTTCTTGAAGGGTATGACAATCATCTAGGTTTCTTATCTTCCCTATTATCTTAGCATCATCAAACATGTTCATATAATTCTGTATACCAACTGGTAGATCATTTATGTAGACAATGAACATCACTGGTGCAAGAACTGAACCCTGTGGTACTCCACTTGTGACATTTCTCCAGTCCGATACCTTGCCTCTGATTACTGCCCTCATTTTTCTATCAGTCAGAAAATTGTTCATCCGTGTTAGAAGCTTACCTGTCACCCCTCCAATATTTGCTAGTTTCCAGAACAACCTCTTATGTGGAACTCGGTCGAAAGCCTGTTTTAGGTCCAGATAGATGCAGTCAACCTCTATTATATAATTTCTGTGTGTGTGTGTGTGTGTATGTGTGTGTGTGTGTGTGTGTGTGTGTGTGTGTGTGTGTGTGTGTGTGTGTGTGTGTGTGTGTGTGTGTGTGTGTGTGTGTGTGTGTGTGTGTGCGTGTGCGTGTGTGTGTGTGTGTGTGTGTGTGTGTGTGTGTGTAAGAGAGAGGGGGGGGGGGTTGCGTGGTGAGGGAGGCAGTATGTGAGACCTTGACACTCAGTCTGCCTGCTCTTCCCTCAACGCTTCCCTACACTCATCACTCGCCAGGTACATCATATATGCCTCGTTTACTTGATAGTTACTATCTCTAGTGATCGTGGCGAGGGCTGGATTACGTGTGAAGTCTCATTACGATCTTTAGTGTCCTCCGTAATCCCTCAGCGCCCTCTTTAATTAACTAATTTATTTATTTATTTATTTAGCATCAGTGTATAAACATCCTAGCACCAGTTTGTCAACATCTTAGCACCAGTGATAGCCAAAGCTATCTCCAAGAAAACAAATAGCACCAGGATGTTAAAGACTTTCTTTGTTGTGTCAACACAATAACACAGCACTAGGGAATCACCTACCTAGCGCCTGGGCTTCCGTTACTAAGCATCAGGGACCCAATAACAAAGCGTCATGGCCCCAGCCTTAATAACACAAGACTATCAACCTAACTCTACGCCAAAGCGGCAACCTAACGGCCGGGTGGCGGCAACCAAGTTGAAGGCGGCCCACCAACACTCACCGGTGTGCTAGCCACTATAACCAGCCGGACATCCATCAGCTGCCTACTACCAGCACGTTGCCAAGAGCGAAAAGAGAGTGACATACCACCCGAGTTCAATAGTCATAAACACAGGGTCGGGAACCTACCATTTGTGAGCTGTAAAGCCCAAGGAACACTACAGGAGAAGGTGCAGGTGTAGTGACCGACGAACACTGCAGGTGTGGTGACTGAGGAACACTGCAGGTGTGGTGACCGAGGAACACCGCAGGTGTGGTGACTGAAGAACACTGCAGGAAGTGAGACATCATGAAGCTTGGCGAAGGAGCCAGGCGGGTGGGGCAGCCATGTTGGAGCCATGAACAGTGTAGACTCTCTCAGGAAAACTCACACTGCACTTCTCTCGTTTGCACCTGTGACAGGTGAGCCAACCTGCTCCCACTGGTTCTGTATGACACGCTAGTAAAGTGAGAATGAACAGAGGAGGTCTATGAAAAAAATAAAGATGAGAACAATGAAGCGAATGAATAGATGAGTTTAATGAGAGATGACTAATGCATAGTGAATGGTAGGATGGGGTCAGTGAAGAGGTAATGGTAGGATGGGGTCAGTGAAGAGTGAATGGTAGGATGGGGTCAGTGAAGAGGTAATGAGTTGATGAATTTAGGTGGAAGAAAAAAATGACAAGATACATAAAAGAGAATGTCTGTCTGTCTGTCTGTCCATTGATAGGGGCGAGACGTTTGGGGCCAGTCTCACTCAACTTTGTATAGTAAATGGTGGGGACTGTTATTGGTAGGTTGGAGTCGGTTCCATTGCCTCCATTGAAGAAGAGCCGGCTCACACTGCGACCCCTCATGACACCAATGAAGTCTGTAATGCAATTTATTATTTATTCAGAGACATTTTCAGCTGGTCATGAGAGAGAGAGAGAGAGAGAGGTATATAAATATATATATATATATATATATATATATATATATATATATATATATATATATATATATATATATATATATATATATATATGTTGTTAAATATGACTGAAAGGGTAAGATTAATACTGTAATTCTAACACCAATCTTCTCAATATTTCCTGCGTTCTTCTTCACTGTCGAGAGTAATTGATAAATTAACTCTCCAAAATTCATTCTTTATTTCTGGTCTGACACCTGAACGTGTTTCGTAATGTTTATTACATTTTCAAAGACTTAGTTTACACATAAAATACATCATACTTATACTCGTTTTGGGTGAGGTGACAGAGCATATGCCAGAACACGAATCAATGGGTATAAATTGGGTATGCAAATATAGGAATGGAAGTAACTGCAGAAGGCCTATTAGCCCATATACTTTCACTTGCTGCTTCTATGTTGGTTCGGGATCTTGAAGTGGGTAGAATATAGTTGTGCATTAATTGGCTGTTGATCACAAGGCTCAACAGTAAATGAAAATGTTAGCAGCAATCATACAGAAACATAGACATAGTTTAAACAGGTGAGGGGAAGAAGTAGATAAATCATTATAGATAAACTGACATGGTGGAAGAGGAACTAATGGTATTGTGTGTGGTGGGCGAGGCAGCGGGTTCCACCAGCATGGGCACCGCTGCACGAGGAACCTTTGGGAGGACCTGGGTAAGTAACCTACCAGTAACTTGACGCCGCTACACGTAATTATCATTATCTAGAAGCAGTCACCCCCAGACTTCCCCTCCTATCTCTTTCTCACAGTGGTCACGCCATGCTATACTAGCACCACCAGCGATCACTGCGATTGATGACGATTAAGTCACCCAAGAGGTGACATGGCATGACTAGCCCATAACCTCATCACTCCCTATTCCACTTTGGTACTGATATATTAGCACTACCACTGGTTACTCTCTGCTCCCCTTCACTACTGATATACTAGCACCAGTATAGTGACTTCCTCACTAGTGGAATAATAGCACTACCAGGATTCACTCACTGGCCACCCTCACTTTACTTCAGTAATACCCCCACCAACCATCAATTCCTGCCCCCCCCTCACCACTGCTATAATAGCACTATCAGCAGTTACACCTTACTCCTCCCCTCACTATTGCTGTAATAGCACCATCAGTAGTTGTTACTCCATGCTCCTCCTCTCACTTCTACTATACAAACACCACCAGCAATCACTCCCTGACCCCCCCCCCTCACTTCTGCTATATTAACACCACCAGTTATTACTCCCTGCGTACTCTCACTACTGCTATTTTAGCACGTCCACCAGTATATTAGCCATCAGTATCTATATATATACCACCTCGTATATATACACATATACACACCTCGTATATACCACCAGTATATACAAGGTGGTATATTCATACCACCTCGTATATTAGCACCACCAGCATTCACTTCCTTGACAATTGTTATATTACCACCACCAGTAGTCACTGACCCCATTACCCTGTGATACTAGCACCACCAGCGGTCATTACCACCACCAGTAGTCACTGACCCCATTACCCTGTGATACTAGCACCACCAGCGGTCATTACCACCACCAGTAGTCACTGACCCCATTACCCTGTGATACTAGCACCACCAGCGGTCATTACCACCACCAGTAGTCACTGACCTCATTACCCTGTGATACTAGCACCACCAGCGGTCATTACCACCACCAGTAGTCACTGACCTCATTACCCTGTGATACTAGCACCACCAGCGGTCATTCCCTGCTTCCCCTTCACTACTACTATACAAACAACAGCAGTGGTCAATCACTGCTGCTATACTAGCCCCACCAGTACTCACTCACTAGCCACACCTCCATCCACTTCTGTTATACTAGCACCACCACCAGCAGTAACTCCATCCTCACACTGTTGCTCGACCCGTCACCATCATGCTAACTACAGCAGATCGACTGTATGTTTGTGCTGTATCAGAACAGCAGTAGACTGCATGTTGTTATATTGTATCAGTGCTGCAGCAGACTGAATGTTGTATTGTATGAGGGCTACAACAGGCTATATGTTGTATCAGGACTGCATCAGTGGGAACTGATGCTGATCGCCTTCTCCATCACACTGGTTCTCCTCGCTGTCTTCCTGGGCTGTATCTACTGCCTCATATCCAGACTGGCCAGGTATGTACAACTTTCTAATTCATTTCTCCTCTCCCTTTATTAATTTTGTATTGTACTTGCCTCTTTAATTTGTCAGTAGGTATAGAGGCATGTTCTTGTTTCATACCATATTGCCTGTCAATCTTTACCTGCGAGATGTTAGCCCAGCACACTTATTGTTCTAGCGACTTTTTGATGCGGCCAAGTCCATTCAGGCCAGAAATCTCGCTGAGATGGTTTCCTACTACCGGGATCACATCAATCACAGGAGTCCTATTTGGCCAGAAAAAAAAGTAAAAACCAAACTTAAATATTCCTAGGCCTAATATAATACATATATTTATTATATTACGTCTCAGATAGAATGTATTAGGCCTAGGATGGTTAGGTGAGGCTTTATTAGCAACATATATAATAAAACTTTTCTAGTTTGTCCAAATTCAATAATAGAAAAGTCTACTTTCTATTGATCCATCACGATATATTTGTACTATCAACCACATTATTACTATAAGTACTGTACTTACATTCAAGGAGGATGGGTTGTATCGTTACCCCTCGCCAAGAAAGCATCCAGAAAGTTTGCAACGCTATATAGACAATTGCAAGGTTCATAGAAAATGAAGCAAATGACTGTAAATGATTGATTAAACAATCACTTGAAACTTGTTCACTTGAAACTAGCTTGAAACCATTAGTACTGATAACTGCCACTAGGTGGCCCAAAACCCTTAGCTGGCTCCAATAGTAGTACAGGTAGACTCCTGGTTCAACCTTGACGACGAGCGGACGTCTGGACACCTCCTCCGCCTGGGAGCCGCTGGATCACGTTCTGTTTTCGCGTTTTGGCTTTGCTACTGCCGTTTGGCATCCCTATTCAAAGGTCCGGTTGTACGACACCTGACGCACATATCGCCTTGGGTCACCGGATTGTTGATAGACTTTTTTTTTTTTTTTTACGTGTTCTGGCTGGTTCTCCCGGCGGGGTGACGGTGTTCGGCGCCGGCTTAGCCGACAGAGGCGGTGTAGGTGCAAGGATTGGCGGGTCTTGGTGGGCTCCTGGAGTGCCCTCAGGCGTGGTGGGCGGCTGGCTTCTGTTCTGCCGGAGGGCACTGGATGACTTTTGCATTTTAGTTGGGGGCGAGTTTTTGGTTTTGCTACCCAGTGTTCTCTGTGTGGGGCGGGGCCGGTGCTTGTCACCCTTGAGGGACTCCTGGGGCTCCCCAATCACCTGCCTGTATGTGTTTCTTTGTCGCGAGGTATATTAGTTTCCAGTGATTGGCGTTACTCGTTTCGCGTTTTGGCTTAGCGTTTCACCTTTCCGGGCTTCGCGATTAACCCTTCACGGGTACGCCGGGGCGCATCCGATCCCACGATCGTCGTCGCCCCTAAATCAACAATAACAACCTGCAGGATGCTTCTGGGTCATCATCCTTCACAGCGAATCTCGGCGAAGTAAAAGTGCTCATTTGGACTTTGTCCTGAAAAAGCCATTTGCTTACTTTTGTTTCCTGGCTTCAAGTGCATGTTTTCTTCCCGGCTTTGTGTGGGCTTGGTTTGTTTTATTTCTGCATGTACTCAGGGTTCCTTTCCTTGAGTGTTCATTTAGTGCTGCCCAAACACTTAGTTACATGTATTTTATTCAGCCACTCGGGACAAAAGTACCAAGTAGCACGGGCTATGGTGAGCCCGTAGTGGACTTAACTGGCAAAGGAGCGGGGCTGTAACTGACTGAGTTACATCTCTGGTATGTTCGCCCCTCAAAGGCCTGGCCACCAAGCTGGAGAGCCTCACCCTGGGTGTTCAGCAATTGTTGACTCCTGTGAAGGCTCTTGGAGGCATCCTATTTGGTTGTGTATAGGGTACACGCATGCTTTGTTTATATGGCACATTGTGGACACTCTTCGTGATCACATTGTTGCAGGCTGCATTTGGTGTCTGTTCTTTTACTGAACAGCTGCAGTGCCTGGGTGTCTGGCTTGGTTAGTTACCTTCAGGCCTTGGTAATTCTCCTGCAGGTCTACAGCATGGCTTGTGATGGATTAACCTGTCATTTCCACACTCACTACGTGCGAGTTTGAAGTGTACTCTTCAGTCCTGCCTCTCGAGTCAATGACACTGAATCCTGCAACATATGCAAGCACTGGGCCTCAATTCTCCGAGCCCGCATCTCATCAGGCAACTGTCACTTTACGGACAAGGTTTTCCTGTATTTGGGGTTCACGGTGGGGAGCTCATTTAGATGCTCTAGAGTTGGCCCCTATGGTGTTTAGAGACCTGGAAATGGTGTTGTCGAATGCCACCGGGTCTAAGTCCACACCCTTTGTGAGGGTTATTTCCTTGGTGAGGGTGACCCTGATTCCCTGCTCACTGTGTCTCTGAGTGGGAAGGGGAGGGGGGGGGGGCAGGTTTTAGTTCCGGGTCTCGGGAATTCTTCCCTATCAATTTTATCGATTCCTGTTACTATTTTGAACGTAGTGATATCGCCTCTTTTTCTTCTATCTTCTAGTTTTTGCATATTTAATGCCTCTAACCTCTCCTCGTAGCTCTTGCCCTTCAGTTCTGGGAGCCACTTAGTAGCGTGTCTTTGCACCTTTTCCAGTTTGTTTATGTGCTTCTTAAGATATGGGCACCATACAACCGCTGCATATTCTAGCTTTGGCCTAACAAAAGTCGTGAACAATTTCTTTAGTATATCGCCATCCATGTATTTAAAAGCAATTTTGAAGTTAGAAAGCGTGGCATAGGCTCCTCGCACAATATTCTTTATGTGGTCCTCAGGTGATAGTTTTCTATCTAGCACCACTCCTAGATCTCTTTCTGTATCAGAATTCTTTAAAGATTTCTCACATAATATATAGGTTGTGTGGGGTCTATGTTCTCCTATTCCACATTCCATAACATGGCATTTATTAACATTAAATTCCATTTGCCAAGTGGTGCTCCATATACTTATTTTGTCCAGGTCATCTTGAAGGGCATGACAATCATCTAAGTTTCTTATCCTTCCTATTATCTTAGGACCATCAGCAAACATGTTCATATAATTATGTATACCAACTGGTAGATCATTTATGTAGACAATAAAAATCACTGGTGCAAGAACTGAACCCTGTGGTACTCCACTTGTGACATTTCTCCATTCCGATACATTGCCTCTGATCACTGCCCTCATTTTTCTATGTCAGAAAATTTTTCATCCATGTTAGAAGCTTACCTGTCACCCCTCCTGTAGTGGTGAAACACCTGTGGTGTGAGACTCGTGGTGTCCTCTCCTGTCTCATGCTGTTGTCCTGTGACTGGGCTGTGGAGAGAGGTACATTGTCTGACACTGGCTGGTGTGTGACTGGTGCTGTCCTCTCCTGTTTCATACTGTCGTCTTGTAGCTGGGTTGTGGACAGAGAAGCATTGTCTGACACTGGCTGGTGTGAGACTGATGCTGTCCTCTCTAGGTCCATTACGTCTGCTGTCTTGCTGGTAGAAGCAAGCGGTGAAGCCTCGATAGCAGTTTTCTTCGGTGCCTGCTGCACATCGGTCCACCGTCCCTCCTCGTCTGAAAGCTGCCTCCATTTCCTCTTTCTCTTAGCCTTCCCCATGACTCTCTCCACGTAGTGAGGACCGAATCACTGCCCTACCTAATGCCTGAGACACTCCTAGGCCTGGAGAAATTCATTCCCCTCCAACGGAGGTCGTAGAATGATTCCTCCAGGTGGAATCAGGGATATCTAACACCTAAATGAGCTGGTTGGTCTACCTTTCCCTGTCAGGCTCGGTACACCTTCTAAGGTGCTCCCTTGTGGCAATGCCCGCGGGATATCGCCTCGCCCTTCAGGATAGGACTCTAAGTGACCTGGTCAGTGATACGGTCCTATAAAAAAAAAAAAAAAAAAAAAAAGACGGTACGAGAGTTTGAGTCGCCTGCGTACTGGGTTGCCCAGAATACCAGTCAGCTGGACAGCAGGTAATCAACAACGTTGTTTCTCCGTCAATTGTAGACGAAATCGGAATTGTTTCCTTCAAAACAAGATATTGCCTGGGTCTCGGAGTACTGATGTATTCTTCCTCTCAAAACCGCGGTGAATTGAACTGATGGGTGCTCAGAATCGTGAGTTTTTCCGGGAACAAATCCGTGTGCGGCCAGCTAGTCATGGCGCCGGCAGAAGAGCTGAGAGTGGAGCTAACCAGAGCAAATAGCTACAGAGAGCAACAGAGTGGGCCCTCCAGAAAATTATTCTCCCCAAGCGTGCCGCTTTCCTCTGATAATTCCCTCCCTTCCCCATTCTGGAGTAATCTACATTGACAGATTGGTTAAGTACAGTGTACGAAAGAACGATACAACATTTATTTTATATTTATATATATAAAGTTAAATGATCTTATTTATGTGCAACAATTGATGTTCTTAGGTTATAATCAAACAAAATTCCTTGTGGCAAAAGGTACCGTCTGACAGTGCCTGCAGGCGAGTTGGTCCCCAGCAATTTTCAAGACGGTGAACCTACCTGCAAGCGAGGAAGCATAAAGAAAAACACTGTCAAGAGCATTCGAGTCCTGGAGACTCAGCTCTTGAATGAAACAACTGTGAAGAGCCAGATGGTGGAGCAGATAGCGCTGACAGGTCAGCAGGAGGGCAGAGAGTTGGTGCTTGATGCAGACAAGCTGTGGCCTGCATCGCTCACACTGCCAGCCACACAATTCATCCTTCCTCTTGAGTACCAACACAAAACCACTGGTAACAACGAACTGCCAGAGAGAGTGTGACAGTGTGTGAGTGAGTGTAATCACCTAGTTGTGCTTGCGGGGATTGAGATATGGCTCTTTGGCCCCGCTGCCAGTGTGTGTGTGTGTATGTGTGTGTGTGTGTGTGTGTGTGTGTGTGTGTGTGTGTGTGTGTGTGTGTGTGTGTGTGTGTGTGTGTGTGTGTGTGTGAGAGAAAGTGAGAGTGTGAGAGAGGGAGAGAGTGAGAGTGTGTGTGTACTCACTTAGTTGTGCTTGCAAAGATTGAGCGCTGGCTCTTTGGCCCCGCTGCTAGTGTGTACTCACCTATATGTACTCACCTATATGTGCTTGCAGGATCGAGCATTGACTCTTGGATCCCGCCTTTCTAGCTATCGGTTGTTTACAGCAATGACTCCTGTCCCATTTCCCTATCATACCTAGTTTTAAAAGTATGAATAGTATTTGCTTCCACAACCTGTTCCCCAAGTGCATTCCATTTTTCTACTACTCTCACGCTAAAAGAAAACTTCCTAACATCTCTGTGACTCATCTGAGTTTCCAGTTTCCACCCATGTCCCCTCGTTCTGTTATTATTACGTGTGAACATTTGATCTATTTCCACTTTGTCAATTCCCCTGAGTATTTTATATGTCCCTATCATATCTCCTCTCTCCCTTCTTTTCTCTAGTGTCGTAAGGTTCAGTTCCTTCAGCCGCTCTTCATATCCCATCCCTCGTAGCTCTGGGACAAGCCTCGTCGCAAACCTCTGAACCTTCTCCAGTTTCTTTATGTGTTTCTTCAGGTGGGGGCTCCATGATGGCGCGGCATACTCTAAGACGGGTCTCACGTAGGCAGTGTAAAGCGCCCTAAAAGCTTCCTCATTTAGGTTTCTGAATGAAGTTCTAATTTTCGCCAGTGTAGAGTACGCTGCTGTCGTTATCCTATTTATATGTGCCTCAGGAGTTAGATTGGGTGTCACATCCACTCCCAGGTCTCTTTCTCGAATCGTTACAGGTAGGCTGTTCCCCTTCATTGTGTACTGTCCCTTTGGTCTCCTGTCACCTGATCCCATTTCCATAACTTTACATTTACTGGTGTTAAACTCCAGTAGCCATTTCTCTGACCATCTCTGCAGCCTGTGTAAGTCCTCTTGGAGGATCCTACAATCCTCGTCTGTCACAACTCTTCTCATTAATTTTGCGTCATCTGCAAACATTGACATGTATGATTCCACTCCTGTAAACATATCATTTACGTAAATTAGAAAGAGGATTGGTCCCAGCACCGATCCTTGAGGTACTCCACTTGTTACTGTTCGCCAGTCCGACTTTTCGCCCCTTACCATTACCCTCTGGCTCCTTCCTGTTAGGTAGTTCTTCACCCATACTAGGGCCTTTCCGCTTACTCCTGCCTGCCTCTCAAGTTTGTATAGCAGTCTCATGTGCGGTACCGTATCAAAGGCCTTTTGGCAGTCAAGAAATATGCAGTCTGCCCAGCCTTCTCTGTCCTGCCTTATCCTTGTTACTTTATCATAGAATTCTAAAAGGTTTGTTAGGCATGATTTCCCTGTCCAGAACCCATGTTGGTGCTTGTTTACAAACCCAATGCTCTCCAGGTGCTCAACAAGTCTTAGCCTAATTATTCTTTCAAGTATTTTGCAGGGGATGCTTGTCAGTGATACGGGTCTGTAGTTAAGTGCCTCCTCCCTATCCCCCTTTTTGAAAATCGGTACGACATTTGCCTCCTTCCAGCAACTGGGCAATTCTCCCGACATAAGTGACTCATTGAAGATCATTGCCAGAGGCACGCTGAGAGCCTGCGCTGCCTCTTTAAGTATCCACGGTGATACTTTGTCTGGTCCAACAGCTTTATTTGCATCCAGTGTTGTCAACTGTTTCATTACATCCTCTGCTGTCACCTCTATATCTGATAGTCTTTCATCTTGGGTAATCTCTTCTAACAATGGGAGCTGCTCAGGCTCGGTAGTGAACACTCCATGGAATTTTGCATTCAGTACCTCGCAGATTTCCTTGTCGCTTTCTGTATATGCCCCTTCTGTTTTCCTCAGTCTTGTCACTTGGTCATTTACCGACATCTTCCTTCTTATATGGCTATGTAGTAATTTTGGTTGCTTTTTCGCTTTGACTGCAATATCGTTCTCATAATTTCTTTCCGACACTCGTCTTATGTTAATGTAATCATTCCTAGCTCTGTTACATCTAATCCTGTTGTCCTCTGTCCTTTGTCTTCTGTACTTCCTCCACTCCCTCCTGCTTCTCACCTTTGCTTCCTGACACTGTCTATTAAACCATGGGTTATTATATTCCCTCCTGCTTTTTTTCTTTATTGTTGGAATAAATCTATCTTCAGCCTCCTTGCATTTCAATATGACTTGGGTCATCATACCTTGCACTGTTTTTCCTCTAAGTTCTTCCTCCCACTGCACTTCTCCCAGGTAGTCCCTTATCCCTCTGTAGTCCCCTTTTCTGTAATCAAGTCTCCTTTCCCGGACCTCTTGTCCTTTGGTCACAATTTTAAGCTCCATCATGTAGTCAAAGGCTAGGACACAATGGTCACTAGCTCCTAGTGGTATTTCATGTTCCAACTGCTCGATGTCTTCTACATTCTGAGTGATAATGAGATCTAATAGGCTGGGCGTATCCCCTCCTCTTTCCCTAGTATCTTCTTTCACATGCTGTGTTAGGAAATTCCTGTCAATAACGTCTACCAGCTTCGCTCCCCAGGTCTCCTCCCCGCCATGGGGATTCCTCGTTTCCCAATCTATCTCTCCGTGATTTAGGTCCCCCATGACCAGCAGCTTCGCTCTCATTCTATGCGCTAAAGTTGCTGCCCTCTGCAGTTCATCCATACATGTCTTGTTGCTGTCCTCGTACTCCTGCCTGGGCCTTCTACTGTTTGGTGGGGGATTGTAGAGTATCAAGATTACAATCTTCTTCCCATCCACTGTCAGGGTTCCATGTATGAAGCTTGTGCTTTCATTGGTACCCGGATTTTCCAGCTCATCAAACTTCCATTTCCGCTTTATTAGTAGTGCCACTCCACCTCCCTGTCTCTGTGTCCTTTCTTTTCTTATCACCTGGTACCCCTCTGGAAAGATTGCATCCGAGATCATGCCATTTATTTTAGTTTCCACTATTGCCACTATGTCTGGGTCTGCCTCACTAACTCTTTCTTTTATCTCTTCTGCTTTATTGGCTACCCCATCAGCATTGGTGTACCAAACCTTGAGACTCTTCTTGGAAACTCGGGTGTCAGAGTTCCCCCTTTCACCAGGGGTCTGGGGGGAACTGGGGGGTGTCTGGGGGGCAAGTGGGGGCTGTGGGGGCTGTGGGGGCGAGTGGGGGGGTGCTAGGGGGGTGCCTGGGAGTGCCTGGTAGGCAAATGGGGTCTGGGCATCTAGGGGGGTAAGAAGGGCATAATGGGTCTGAAAGTTAGGGGTCTGAATAGCATAGGGGGGTTGAGAAATAGAGTGAGACTGAGAGTCAGATAGAGGTTGAGAGGTTGGGGGGAAGAGGGATACTGAGGTGAGATGAGAATGGAGCATGGGTGCTGGGAGTGGAAGAGAGGGTATATTAGATAGGGGGGAATCGGGGGTAGGTGGGGGTTTTGGGGTAGAAGAGGGGAAGAGGGAGATGGGGGAAGGTGTTAGGGGGTCACAAGGTGAGGGGGTTAAATGTGGGCTGGAGGTGCATAGGAGGGGTGAGGGTTGGGTGGGGTTTGGGGGTGAGTGGAAGAGGGGTGCAGTGGAAGCTGGGATGGAGTAGATGGAATTGAAGTCAATGGGGTAGAAGGGGCAGGGGAGTGGGAAGGGGTATTTGGGGAGGGGGGATGGGAAGGTGGGTTTGGGGAGGGCATGGCTTGACCCACTGGGGTCGCTGACAAGTGTGATGTAGCAGGGGCAGGGGAATCGTTGTGGAGGTGCAAATGTGGAAGGGACAGGGGGGTTTTGGGAGGCTGAGGCAGGGGGGATGTATAGGAGGGCTGAGTTGGGGAGGATGCGACCTGGGAGGTGACCTGGGAGGTGACCTGGGAGGTGACCTGGGATGTGACCTGGGAGGTGAGATTACCTGGGAGGTTAGTACGTTGTCGTTGTTGCCATCTATTTTTGTGGGCTGTTTGCTCATCTTTCATCATAAACCTCTCTATAAACACATTGTAATGGGTTTCACTTCCTCTGAGTAAATGCTTGCTCCTCATTATGTACTCCACTGCCTCCTCATTGGAGAATTGCACCAGAACAGGTCTCTTCTTGGTACAATTGTAAGGTCCAACCCGTCGATTGATATCCACCTCGCGTTCTGCCATCTCTGCTCCAATACACCTCAATATCTCGTGCAATTCGTAATTTTCTGTTTCTATTCTCTCTTGTCTTGTTGGTGCCCTAGATTCGAATAATCCATGTATTATAATAGACCGTCTCCTCAGGAATTCATTGTCATGCTGGTAGCCTGTCCCCTGGGGATTCCCCATCCCAACCGCAGTCACTAACCCATCTCCCACTAATCCCACTCTATCCTTAGCCATGCTGCTAAACCTTCCTAATTCGTTTGTGATACGAGCACATTCCCTCTCCCAGTCCTCTCTTCCCTTCCTAATCTCTTCCTGAACATAGAGCATAAGTTCTTGTTTCTGCCTCTCTACCGCATCCTGTATTTGCTGAAATACCTCACTTTTAATCCCCTGGATTAGATCCTCCAACCAATCACTCCTTCTCTCTACAAATTTCCCTATTAATTTGTCTATAAATCTGTCCTCCTCCTCATCCCTGCTGGTGATTGACCTTGAACCCCTTCTAGTCATTGCAGTAACAATCTAGCCAAAAAGGCGCTCCTCAATACCTTGCACAATCTGCTAACACAATAGGTGAGTGAATCTCCAATCGTCGTCCCACGTGGTGATATAAGGGTTGCTGCCGAGGTGAGGTCACGCGGTCAGAGGTCGGTGAGGTCTGGTTTCACACTGCACAGTATTTCCTCAACTATTTTGAATTACGCTAATTAAACTGTTTTTCTTCA